ATATATATATATAGAGAGAGAGAGAGAGAGAGAGAGAGAGAGAGAGAGAAAGAGAGAGAGAGAGAAAACAATAGTCACTTACCCAGTATATCTCTATGGGTATAAAAGCGTGTCTTAAATGGCTTATATTCATGGATCCGTTCAAAGGTTTTCCCAAAAGGAGCTGGTGGGATTATCTTATTACAAACAGCACAACAAACAAAGCTGGTGTAATTTGGATTTTTGATCATAGTTAAATTTCAGATGTCTTCTATTTACAGTTAAATTAATATTGGGATCAGAAAAAGTAGTTTTAAGACACTAGAAGTTTAAGAAAGATGGAAGAAGTTAAGGATTTTAGTACAATGCTAGAGGCTGCTGAGGATGAAATGATTTACCATGACTAAGTATTGGTTATGTGCCTAATGTTAAAGAATGGCACTAAAAGCCTCAGCCATAAAAAGGTATGGGCACTGGATTTGGGGAGACGTCAGCAGTGACTCTCTCCCAGATTTTAGCATTAAATTGTTAACTAACTTAACAACCGTTGCTAGGTAAGACAAGCTTTGCTCATAAAAGCATTTGAAATAATGTCAAAGGGAGCAGGATGCAGCCATTCATTTCCCAGATACTTTCTGTATTAATTTCCCATTGCTGCTATAATAAATTAACACAAACTTCATGGTTTAAATACAACACAAATTTATTCTCTTACATTTTGGAAGGCGAGAAATTTAAAATGAGTATTATGAAACTAAAACCAAGACATCGGCAGGGCTGATTCCTTCTAGAGGCTTTATGGCACAATCTGTTTCCTTGCCTTTTCCAGAGCCCAAAGGCCACTGGTCTTCCTTGGGCCCATAGTCTTTATCATTTGGCCTTTTCCCCAGTGCTTCTAGGTGAAATCGTCTTTCTCTGATCATCTAACTCACCCTAAGAACCTCTGCAATTATGCCAGGCCATCCAGATAATCCTGGATAATCTCTTCATCTCAAAATCCTGTACTTAAATACATCTGCAAAGTCCTTTTTGCTATGTAATGTAACATAGTCATAGGTTTCAGAGATTAGGATCCATTCTTTATTGCAGGGGAGGGGAGCATTAGTTATCCACTATACTACTTTCTTTTTATATTTTTTTTAACGTTTTTCTTTTTCTTTGGCATATCTTGTTTTTACATACTTTCTTTTAAATGAGTCTTGTAAAGAATTTATTTTAAGGTCAGCAATAGAGGTAGTTTCTTAACTTTTTTCAGGTTATTTATAAATGTGATGTGTTGGTACCATGGCAATAAAGCTGGAAAATACAGTATCTTAAAAGAAAAATCACTTTCATTAAGTCAGCATTTAAAACCACTATGCTTGGCTTTTAAAAATCACATAGTTATCTAATCTGTTACTATAATTTTAGAATAATAGCTTTAGATACTCTGCTTATCACAAACACCTGTGCAACTGGTTATACCAAGAGACTGAATTTTTTAAAAAATTGCCTAACAATGTACACAGCATCTATGCAGCAGAACTGGTTTTATAACACATCAATGAGATAAATTTCAACCACAGAATGCCCATAGGGTCCTGGGCTGTTTGCTGCAAAAGTTATTCTGTAATTTCTCCACAAATCCTATTTATATTAACTCATGTGGCCTGATAAATGGCTTAAGATCTTTAATAGCACTACCAAATAGTCCCAGATTTAACTATAAGAAAAAGGTTAATTGGGGCTGGGAGAGATTTAAAAAGGAAGAGATAAATTACTACTGAGAACTGAGACTAGTTAACTGTGTGGACTCAGAACTGAGGCTGCACCTGTGTCAATACGCATTCTCTGTTACTGGAAACTCTTGCCTGAAAGTGACCAATTAGTTTAAGACCAAAAGTCCAGCATCACAAGAAATCCCTTAGTACTTTGGAAACAGGAAGGGTGGGTCACACTATAAAGGCTGTAAAGTTAATAGATCACTGCTTACTTAACCCACTTACCAACTGAACAGCCTGCTGATCTGGGCAAACAGCTCTTCTATCAGACTAGATTACGCCCTGTGCAAAATAGGTCACTTGCTGTTTATCAAACAAGTTTATTTATGAAGACTATTTCAAGACCTAATGTCTGCAGTTTTGTCTAATGTCTGTTGTTTTGTCCACTCTTGCAGTGAAAGACCCCTCTTTAAACACTTGAACTTGGCCTCCAAAACTCTGTATCTTCCCGATCATCCCTGTCTCAAGCACAACTGACTTTGTCAAAGTGGCATTTTCTGTTAGTACATAAAATTAATAGTTTTGGGCGGAAGCCACGCGGGGCGCGGGAGTTCATGCCCCCGGAGCGGCGGGCCCCGCCAAACAAAGAAAGCCCCCGCCGCAGCACA